CCCCCCCCCCCCCCCCCCCCCCCCCCCCAGTGTAGATCAGATCAGCACTGTGCTGAGTGACAGCAGGCCCACGAGTATTGACCCATATTTTTTTTATTACTATTATTTGTGGAAAAATCACACCCTCTCAACCTCTTTCTCACTTCAAACGCGGACGGGCCTGTGGAGATCTCTCCCCTCCGTCTTTCATCGCTGGCCGGCCCTGGAGGTGATGCGGGGAAGCGATTAGTCATATTCAATTTACCTACGGCTGTCACGGCCTCCTTCAGGCCGAGCGCTGATGTCATCCGTGCGTGGGTGCCCCCCTCCGCGGGCCACCCGGCGTATGGGAAGACTTCTCGCTGTCGGGGGGCAAGGTGGGGGTTTCCTCCCCCCCCACCACCCGACCAGAAGGGAGCACCATCACTGCTCAAGTGGCATGATGAATGTGGGGGGGCACTTTCGTGTGCACATGTGCGTTTGTGTAAGCTGTATGAGACAGCAGGCAAGTAGTGTTCTTTAAATGTCAACTTAAATATATGCTTTAAGTAAAACCATTTTTATCATATCAGTATATTGATCAGTGTCAAAATGTTATCAAAAATACATAATGTAATTAGCAGAGCCCCCTACATTAGTGGTCTCCGTCAGTAGACTTGGGGGCTTAATGCTGCGTTCAAGGCAACAAGTTTGTCTCGGTCAGCCATGTTTTTGTTGACGCTTTTGGATGTTGGAAATTTGAACTGCCACCCTCCGAGTTGTCTGGAACGCAGCTTACGTCCCCTCTGTGGTGTTAGCACTCCAGCTCACAGTACTACCTGATGCTGTGAGCGCTGACAGCCTGGTCTTTTGCTACGTTCGCTAGCTAGGCTAACCACAGTTAGCTTCCACTTTCGGTGCAACTAGCTCCCATTCTCCGCGCGGAAGCTAGTACGTTACGAAGCGGCTCACAATACGTGCATTCAAACGTAAAAGGAAGGCTACATTCCTGATAAACAGGTAAGAGCATGTTAGTAAGCTACGTACAAAGTGTTGTTTAGTCTTTTTTTAAAGTTAGATGGGAGGTGCTAGCTTGCCACTTAACCTAGCGTGCTAGCTTCCATATTCAAGTAGAATACAAAGTTAACAGCAAAGTTTGGGTCGTCCCAAAATGTTGGATGCTGTAAAGGGACAGACATCTTAAATAGCTAACTGTACATTACCAACACTATGTGGGCTTATTAAATAAATGTCTTTAATGTTATACAGCGTTATGACGTGCAGTAATGCACCTTTTTATTTTTCAGAATCGGAAAAAATGCGCACCATAGCTTCCTCACACAAAAAGTAGAAATAGGAATTAATCCTCATCGTCATTAATCAACCACACACACACACACACTTGACACACTCGCGGTGGGAATGCTTCAGCTCAGATGTGGACTCTGAGGTCAGGGGTCAAGAGCCGGCAGTCCATTTTGCAGTCGGCTGCTCGGAGGAAGCCGAGGGAGCTTGCGGGGTTTATAGGGAAGAACCACTGGCGGCCATCCAGAGGAGGAAGTCTAAGTTATTTATGAAGCCCAGCTTGACAAAAGACAGTAAAGCTTCCCATATTCAGTGAGTCTGGCTGCTCCAGAGCAATCAATTAAGTGGACAATTGGGTAAGTTCATGTACAGTGAGCACAATATGATTCTAAATGCAACTGGGGTCGTTTTTCTTCTTTCAAACATGCGCTCTAAAAGACATATTTACATGCACATATGCACACATTATCATACGCACACACACACACACACACACACATGAAGGCCAGAAGTTCAGGTTACCAAGGCAACTCATCTATGGATCTGGGCAGCAGAATGCGAGACCGTGAATAACTGTTTTAACACACAGCCGGCGCAATGTGTGGTCCATTACATACCATCTAAACCATAACTCTATGTGTGTGAGTGTGTGTGTGTGACGTCAGTGTCTCAGGGTGCATGTGTTTCATCTTCATCATCCTGTTTTGCCGCCATGTACATGTGTGTGTGTGTGTGTGTGTGTGTGTGTGTGTGTGTGTGCACAATCTCTGTGCAACGAAGCCCCTTTTCAGTTGTGATTGTGTAGGTATTATTTTCGCTGCGGTGTTTTTTCATGGCGACACACTACGATGTGTATCTGTTTATGGACGAAAAAAGTAGTTAGATATTGTCATTTTCTGTGTTGAATGACTTTTTACCTCCATTTACACTCATATGTGCATGTGTAAATTAAGCTGCTCACAGGATATGAAAAACAATATTCAAATCACGTTTTATTACTCTAATTCAATAAAAATAGCATTATTTTAATAATAATATGTGGAACAAATAAAGAGAACTGTGGGAATTACAAGTCAGGAGCACATTACATTGATTTACTTTGAAAACGGATAGTCGTGTATCTAATTACGCTGGTGTTTGTGATTTAAAAAAATATGTATAATAAAGGAGAACATTACGGGGAAATAACTGCAAATAAGAGCACTGCTCATATTGCATAATTTAAAAAAAAAGTATGTTTAAAGGAAGGACGTCCAGATGCAAATTTGATGAAAAATAGTTTGTTTCAAACTTTTATGCAAAATAAAATAAAAAAATCTGAAAAGCCCTCTCTCTCATTTTGTATCCACTTTTGAAGACGGCCCCTAAATTACAAAATGTCTGATTATCCAACTTAAAAATGATTCAGCAATTAGTTATGTCAGGCATTGTTGACGTTATCGATCAATAAAAGATTATCCCTGATGTATTTTTCTTCTGTTGAATGACATTTTGATCTGCGTTGTGGCGAAACAAATTTGAAGGAATATCTATCAAAACAGTTTAATATTTATCTGCCTCCTCATTCGTATCTCTTGCGAGTGTTTGGTGTCTTTTCTTTCCCACCTCCTTGCGAACAGGTGTGAGGCTGAACACCTGCGTGTCGACTCTGTGACCAATCAAAGGGGTGAAAGGTCAGACACGGGGAGACGTTTATGTGAAAAATG